TCAATGACTTCAGTGTTGTTATGCTATTAATTTAAAAACAATTTGTTGTATTCCATTTTGGATTCCCCCATCCCTATTGCTTTCAATAGTTTGTTTATTTTGCTGTTATATGAAACATTCCTATAGTTGTAAGAGTCAGAGTTAAATAAACATACTCAGAAAACTATCATTCCCCCCTTCAGCAGTGTACTCTATCTCTATTCCTCCCTTCTTGGAAACCTCCTTACTAACCCATCCCCCATAGATAACCAACCTCATTTGATTTTGGTTTATCTTTCCTATATATCTTTTGCACAAATGAGCAGAAAAATGTGTTTTCTTATATCCTTTTCTTTCTCTTCAGGAGGGTATCATAGTATGGACAATCTTTTGCACTTGGCTTCTTCACTTAACTATATGTAAGTATTCACTCATTAGTTCATAGAGATCTTTCTCATTCATTTTTGCAGCTGCCTGTTGCTCAGTTTTGTTGGTATGCCCAACTTATGTATGGATATTAAAGTTCTTTCCAATATTTTACAGTTGCAAACAATGCTGCAATGAATAACCTTGAGTATATAGCACAGTTTTGATTGTTGATAAAAAAAAGAATAACAATTTCTCAGATAATGTACAGCTTAAAAAAAAAAAGGTTTCCAGAAATGCTGTACAGCAAACACCAAGATAGAGTACTTATTAAAAGAGTCCACAAAGGGATGTGTGTTCCAACAGATAGAGTCCTACTGATGATCTTCACAGGCCACCATGTCCATGCAGGGAATGAGGAAGCTGGGGAGGGGCTAATCTGTCCAGCAAAAAACACCTCTTCTCCAAACTCTGTCTTCCATAAAGCAATCATTGTAACATAATAAACTAGCAAAGTCCAGGATCAAGTGTTTGGAACTCAGAACGATAGAGTAAAAGGAACCAAGTACAAGCCTCCCTTTCTGTCTGCCTTCACAGTGCTCCTCTTAGCACAGTTGCTACCATGTCTAAACTGGAAATGTTCACAAAGTGCTCCTCATTTTCCATTACTCGGGGTTCCATAGAGGCCTAAAAAAGTCAGTAATAAGAGATTACTTTTTTAGCTTATTAGATATTAATACACTTAAGAATATTTCATTATTATAAGAGTTTGGGAAATTGCATAAGGAAGTCTCCACTTTTGCCATATGAGCCTTCACAGTAAAAAAATATGTTTTACAGAGGGACCACCCAGCAAACAGTCAAAGAACTGTATAGATAACTAGACTACATGAATTGGGCTCTGGTGCTTTATATTCAGTTCTAGTTCATTGAAAAAATAAAAACAACATTTTGGCCTTGGGTCACTGAATTGATTTTCCAACCTTTAATGATTGTTCAGACCTGCAGTCTGAAAAACTGTTCATTAAGAACACATCCTTTGAAATCAGGCAGCTGTGAGCCGAACTTTAAGATGTACCTCTTACTTGCAGTCTGGAGAATTCGTTAACCTCTACATGCCCATGTCTTCCTGTGTAAAATGGGGATACTATCTAAAGCAGGGAATTGCTGCAATGACTAAGTAAGAACACAGGTAGTACACAGCAAGTAGCCAATTAATGGAAAGGGTATTTTTATTATGAAGAATAGTGAAATGGCATAAGAAGTGGAGAAGCTGTTCTAGGGAATTCTGGTAGTCCACAGGCAAACAAGGTCCAGCCTTCCTTCTGTGGATGGAAAATTATGAAGCAGAGGATCCCTTACCATTACTCTCTTTTCTCCTTCTCAGGGCCAATCTAGTGCCCAGTCAGGTGTGAATCCAAGGAAGTCAGTATTAGATTGCTGCTGCCCTCTTTCTCCCAACATGTGGTTCTATATTTTCTGTGGTCATGGACTTCTTTTCAAAGGTCTCTCAGGCAAGTCTAGAAATCCACAGTAACTTCACATGACAGGTAATATTTTTGACTTCTTGGTCACTTTCTGAGACAGCAGCAGTATTTGCCAGACTTGGCAGGGTATAAAAGGAACCTTGGGAACTTGTTAAACACGCAGATGCTGAGACTCACTGGAGTTATTGGTTTAGAATCATCTGGAGCAAGACTTCGGAATACACATTTAAAGCAAACACAGACACACCATAGGTAGTTCAGACTAGCTGTAGCTGGAAGATCAGTAGGAAAGTGGAGCCTTTTGGTGTTACTCCTATGTCATCATAGAAGAGTGTCAAATAAATGTTTGATTTAATAGTGACAGATCCTCCATATCTCCATTAAGTCCATAAAATAGTCTGATTTATAGGAAAACATGTATTGTAGGAGACAAGTGTAGCTGAGTTGAAAGATAACAGAAGGTGGAGAGTTTAAGTCCCCACAAATTAGAACTAGTAAGAAATTCATAGAATAAAGTAAGACATTTGAGAGAAAACTTCGACATGTTATGCACATTTCACCCCCATACAGTAAGTTATTGTTTGTCAATGAAAATGAGTATAACCCATTGTTTTGGATCAAGTGCCCACAAATCAGTTTCCCTAATACCCATTAATTGTGTTTTGGAGCCTTACCCCTTCCTTTTTTATTTTAATTTATACCAAAGAACATATCTATTTTTCACTAGCATACACTCATTACATTAAAAATGTTTACACATTAAAGCTTAAATATTGATAATTTACATTCATTTTTATACCAGATTCAGCACTATCTGAAAACATTTAATTAAAGCTGTATCAAAGATCCCACTGATTTCAGTAGTGGGATCTGTTGGGTGTGGAGAAGATTTGAGACAATGGAACTAAAAATAATATGATGTCCAATGCCATGTTACAACCAGCCACATTCACAGAATATCACCTTATAGCACCCCCCAAAACTCTATTTTGTCTCTTGAGCACATGGCTTGCAGTTTTTAAAAACAATTCCATGCAGACCATTTTATTGGAATAATTCCTTCAAATGAGCTTTTCCTCCCAACATGCAGTCTCTGTTGTTTGGGCAACTACCTCAACAAACCCACTGTCTCACAAACCTTGCAAAGGATGTCATCATAGTGCAATGATTTAACTTGGATAAACCTTTAAAGTTCTGCTTCTGAGATGGAAATTTGAACGTGTCATTCAATGCTACATGTAACTCGTTTTCTTTGTTATGGAGCTCCGGGAAGCATAGAGCCATAATCATCATGATTGAAGCCATGTTTGCTATGTGGAATAATAATTCATCAGCTATTCAGTTATAACAAGGCCTGGGTTCCTTTAATAATGGGAATAGATGTTGCAATCCACATTTCTCATGTATTTCCCCTTACGATCAACATGTGAATTTCTATCTTAACTAATATATTACCATGCAGTCCTGCAGCATATGCCCGAAGAACTCAGTAGACAACAAATTCTTCAGTGGGCACCTCCGCTTCCAAGGGCTTTATGGACATCATCTGCGTTTTATTTGCAAATTAATCGTTTTCCATCGGTGTACCCTATGTTTGGGATCCCCCTTCCTCCTCAAATAACCTGAGTTCAAGGTATGTAAACTCAGGAGCAGTTGTACAGTGGAAGAGAAGCAACAGCCCCGCCCCCAACCCTAGGGAGCAAAGAGGAAAAGAACTATCCTAAGGAATTGTTTAAAAACCCAGATGCAGCCTATAGATATAAAACCATAGCTACATAGATTGATGTCCCAGGAGTCCAAAACTTAACCCCAAATGGGCAGAAATTTGTTCGGGAATAAACTAAACGAGTTTGATGAACTCAAATGCCCTCGGCTCAATAGGCAGGACTCTCCGAGGAGCCTGTGTTACTTCCCTCACTTAAGCGCAGATTTGTAATAAAAATCTTAAGGCAAGTGGCACGGTTTTTGGACATACAAGAAGCTAACCACTTGGAGAATTATATTTCAGAGGTCAGAAAAATCCAGAGTTAAAGATCAGTTTGTAATTTAAGGAGAAAATAGAAAGTTTTGTTTCTCTTAGTTGAAATTTGAGGGGCACGGCGGGAAATATTGCTGGTTTTTGGCATAAGGTTTTATGGTTTTCTCATAAATTGAGGTCTGCCTGAAGCCTGAGGCTTTGTGGATCATTTTTGGAGAAAAATCGAGCAATTCGATGCAGAGGGCTTTAATATTTTTGGTATTTTTTAAGGTGTAACAAACACAACTCGGGATCCGAGAGGACATTCTGCGGCTGCCAGCGAGGCGGGCTGGACAGCGCACCAATCACAACGCAGCTCCGCCCTATATAAACGCGCGGGCGCAGGGGCGCAGCCCGAGTCCTGGCGAGTGCCTGTGCTTCCGGTTCGAATTGGTTTCTCTCTACCCGCTTTCGTTATGTCCGAGACTGCGCCTGCCGCGCCCGCTGCTCCAGCCCCTACCGAGAAGACCGCCGTAAAGAAAAAACCTCGCAAGTCTGCAGGTGCCGGGAAGCGCAAAGCGTCTGGGCCTCCGGTGTCCGAGCTCATCACCAAGGCAGTTGCTGCCTCCAAGGAACGCAGCGGCGTATCGCTGGCCGCGCTGAAGAAGGCGCTGGCGGCCGCCGGCTACGACGTGGAGAAGAACAACAGCCGCATCAAATTGGGTCTCAAGAGCCTAGTGAGCAAGGGTACCCTCGTGCAGACCAAGGGCACTGGCGCCTCGGGTTCTTTCAAGCTCAATAAGAAGGCAACTTCTGGGGAGGCCAAGCCTAAGACCAGGAAGGTGGGTGCAGCCAAGTCCAAGAAGCCTTCGGGAGCGGCCAAGAAAGCAAAGAAGACCACGGGGTCGACCACCCCCAAGAAAAGCGCCAAGAAGACTCCAAAAAAGGCGAAGAAGCCTGCGGCGGCTGCAGGAACCAAAAAGGCAAAAAGCCCGAAGAAAGCGAAAACAGCCAAGTCCAAGAAGGCGCCCAAGAGTCCAGCAAAGGCCAAAGCGGTGAAACCCAAGGCGGCTAAGCCAAAAGCTGCTAAACCCAAGGCAGCTAAGCCGAAGAAGGGGTCAGCCAAAAAGAAATAGGAAGTCCTTTGGCCAACTGTTTCAGAAGCTCAACACAACCCAAAGGCTCTTTTCAGAGCCACCCCCGTATCTCAGAAAAAGAGCTGTTGCACTTTAAGGGGGCGTGGCTGGAGAATGCTACAAATAATGGGTGGACCCCTCGGGAAGGAAAAATGGGTAAAATGGGGGTTTAGAGATCTCTATCCGAGAAACTGGCTGGGGCCAAGCTCGCATACTTAAGGAATGCGGTGGTTAGGAAACTGGCCTACACCTCTACCGTACATGACTCAAGAAGGGAGCACATTTGAGAGCAAGCACCTCGTTTGGAGCAAGAGACAGTGCATTTACCCCCAAACCCACTTCAATTTTGGTAAGGTTTATAGTTCAAAAGAATTGGCAGGTTATGGAGAAATCCTCAGGAATATTTGTAAGCAATAAAGTTGCCAAGACAAATTAGTGAACTTGAGTTACGGACGGTTAGGCACCCCAACATACTGATGAGCTGTTTTTTCGATTGGTTAAATGGGATACGCTTCTCATAAACTGCTACTTGCCCGCCGCCCCAGCATTTGAAGACAAACAGTAGGGCCTGCTACCTGGTACCAGGTGTCCACTGTTGTCTCCACCCACTAACCTAAAACTAACGTTCCCGTTTTATCTGCTCTCCGAAACATCCAGTCAGGTTGCTTGAAAAGAATTAATTTATAGTAGCTTTGGGTAGCCTAGTCTCAGCTTTCCGATTGGATTGAAGCAAAGTAACTAAATAGCCAATGAAAGGGTAGACGTACAAGGGCTATTTTTCGCATTTGTGACGACACACTGAAATTAACCCAATCGTAAGTGACATTTTACTGACCTCATTTGAATACCGCATCTATAAATAAATGTGTCTTTACCCACGGTGATTATTTTTTAAGGTATTAATGGTAGCGTAACTTGACGCTGAAATGCCAGAACCCACGAAATCTGCTCCGGCCCCAAAGAAGGGCTCTAAGAAGGCGGTAACCAAAGCGCAGAAGAAGGACGGCAAAAAACGCAAGCGCAGCCGCAAGGAGAGCTACTCGGTGTACGTGTACAAGGTGCTCAAGCAGGTCCATCCCGACACCGGCATCTCGTCCAAGGCCATGGGCATCATGAACTCCTTCGTCAACGACATTTTCGAGCGCATCGCGGGCGAGGCGTCGCGCCTGGCGCATTACAACAAGCGCTCGACCATCACCTCCAGGGAGATCCAGACGGCCGTGCGCCTGCTGCTGCCCGGGGAGCTGGCCAAGCACGCCGTGTCCGAGGGCACCAAGGCCGTCACCAAGTACACCAGTTCCAAGTAAACTTGCCAAGTAAGCTTCCTTATACCTAACCCCAAAGGCTCTTTTAAGAGCCACGCATGCTTTCATTAAACGAGTTGTAATTCTTTCATTGCAAACGATGTCGAGTACCATTCTTGTAACATATTACAGTCTCGTAGGTAAAAATGCTAAGTACTGAGGCAGCAGTATCTGCCATTGCGTCCTATGGACAAACACAGTCTAGAACCATTAGTCATTTAGGTCCACATAACTGCATATTAATTTTAAGGTGAAAATGCCGTTTCAAGTGTACCACTCCTTTCCATGTATAATTCTCCAAATTGATTCCAATATCGATCTGGGTCTTGGAGATAACCATTCACCCGGAGCACAGAAGTGCATGCTATGACAACTCAGAACTTTGCTTTTAACTTTTACCACATAGACATGCAATACTGAAAACCAGCTAGACTGAGTTTTCACGGAAATATTACAAAGGCTTTTCTGGTTTTTGCTTGCTTTGCAATTGGAACAATATGTTTGAGGCTCAGAGCAGCGAGGGGGTAAGGGAGAGGGAGAGTCGGCTGTATCCAAAAGGCACCGAGAAAGAGGAAAGGGAACCCTTTTTGAGACACCTTCAAATCCTATCTTTTATTATACCGTCGTTCTAGTAATTTGTAGGCTTCTGGCAGCATTTACTTCAGCTTTAAAGTCCTCCGGGCCATAAGGGAGAAAGAAGCCCAATATTCGTTCAGTCCATTCAGGTGTCTGGTTGTGGATAGGCAAAAGTCACCCCAGGACAGAGGCTCCCTTCTCAGTACCGTTTCCCCTTTCCCTGAGATCCCCGAGTGTCGAGGACGGGGAGGAGTTAGAAAGAGAAGGAACTCTGCTTCCGGCAGGATGTGATTTCTGCGGCGCAAAGTGAGATGGCATGAGGGATTTTCACTACCAGGGAAACATTGCTGTAGGGAAAATAATCTCGGAATGGAAGCTGGGATGCTGGGAGGGAGGGCCAGGAGGAAAGGGGTCCATGGTTCAGAGTTCACCAAGAAAATTGCATGGTAAATGAGGCTGGGCTGGGAATAAACTGCTGGATGAGACTGAGAATTTAGGTGGAGGGTGTTGTTGGCTGAGGGAGGAATGGATTTGAAAGTCTATTGTCCTCACAACCGCCACCTCCCTCGCCCCGCAAACAAATACACATTCATGAGTCATGGGGATAGATTTTCCATGATGTGTCCAACTGAGTACTTGGATGAACATTTAAAACACAGGATCATGTCTTCTAAATTCTTTAAAAGCAAGGAAAAGCCTCTAAGAAAGCAAGAAACCCCCAGGCTCGGGGGCTTGGCCCATGTGAAACCTCAAGCACCACAACTGCCTCTCACCCAAACCTGAATTTCGTTTTCAGGAGCATTGTGTGAAGAAGCCTCCTCATGGTTGGTTGGGAGCCTGATCAATATTGCCTGATGAAGCTGAGATTCCAGACCAATAGTTACCTTCTCAGGGTGGAAGGATAAACTAGAAGTAAACACATGTCCACACACATCCACACTCACCATAGATGACTGCAAGAGTCTGCCCTAAACCTTGGTGCTGAACAGGGTAGATGCCACCACCGAGAATTTGAACTACAAGCCAGACTTTACACTGACTTTGTTCTGGCTTTAATACCACAGGGATTCAAAACACCCAGGTTGAGAATTTAACTTATGGAATATCCCAAGCTGGTTTTGCACCCCTGAGCACCTGGTAAAAGCAACCAAATCCTTTCTGGAGACATAAACTTCATTTTAAACCTCAACAAATACCCACAGAAAAAATATCAAAGAATATCAATGAACAGCTTCACAAACAAAATTAATTAAACACACCATGAAACAAAACATCATGACCAAGAACAAAAGCAACAATGGAAACAAAGAGTAAAAAGAGGAAATCAACAAATATAGACTTCAAGTGACTCAAGTTAGTATCTTAGAAAGTATATGTATTTGAAATATGTTGATGGACTAAAAGAATACAAAGAATGTCCACGCAGATTTGAAAAAAGAACCGACTAGAAATTCTAGAAATATATATATTCATGTGTATACAATTAATTATAACAGAATTAAAGTTGAAAGCTTATTGGATAGGTTTAATAGGCAATGGGACCCAAGTGAAAAATTTTCATGAGCTGTATAACTAGATCCTAAGGAATTATCCAAAATAACAGAGAGAAAGGTAAACATGAGTTTAAGAGATACGGAATTAGTAAAATTGACATGCATCCAATCATAATGCCCAGAACAACCAGAAAGAATGACACAGATGTGAGATTTAAAAGATCATGGCTGAGAATTTATTAGAATTAATGGATTATTCAAATAATTAAAAATAAATGGAGTGAAAGATGATACAACAAAAAGGTGGTCACTGTGTGACACTGAACTAAGCCTTATAAATTCTTATAACAAATGTAATGCTGATTTTCATAAGGTTGTGACTTCTAATCTTTTTGACAGATGACATCAGACTGAAGCAGTTTGAAATTCTGTAAGGGGGAGTATAATTGAGTAACTGGTTACGTGTACTTTTTATCTAGCTAATTACCGAATTCTATTTATTTATTTATTTATTTTGTATTAAGATATCATTGATATACACTCTTATGAAGGTTTCACAAGAAAAAAAGTGTGGTTACTACAATCACCCATATATCGAGTCCTCCCCACACCCCATTGCAGTCATTGTCCATCAGTGTAGTAAGATGCCAGAGTCACTACTTGTCTTCTCTGGGCTACACTGTCTTTCCCATGATCCCCCCAACACCATGCATACCAATCGTAATATCCCTCAATTCCCTTCTCCCTTCCTCCCCACTGTCCCTTCCCCACCCCTCCTCTTTGGTAACCACTAGTCCCTTCTTGGAGTCTGTGAATCTGCTGCTGCTATTTTGTTCCTTCAGTTTTGCTTTGTTGTTATACTCCACAAATGAGGGAAATCATTGGTATTTGTGTTTCTCTGCCTGACTTACTTCACTGAGCATAATACCCTCTAGCTCCAACCATGCTGTTGCGAATGCTAAGATTTGTTTTTCTTATGGCTAAATAACAGAATTTGTATATGTATCATAATAATTCCATTGTGTATATGTATCACATCTTCTTTATCCATTCATCTACTGATGGACACTTAGGGGGATTCCATATCTTGGCATAGGGGTGCATATGTCTTTTGAATCTGAGATCTTGCTTTCTTTGGGTAAATTCCAAGAAATGGAATTTCCAGGTCAAATGGTATCTCTATTTTGAGTTTTTTGAAGAACCTCCATATTGCTTTCCACTATGGTTGAACTAGTTTACATTCCCACCAGCAGTGTAAGAGTGTTCCCCTTTCTCCACATCCTCGTCAGCATTTGTTGGTCCCAGTCTTTTTTTTTTATTTTTTATTAAGGTATTATTGATAAACACTCTTCCAAATTCTATTAATCCTAATATTTAATGGAATGTCTTGATTTTCATTGCGTATAATGCTATCATTAGCAAACAAAAATGTGTGATATCCCTTCCAATAACTATTTCTGTTAATTGCTTTTATCATGTTAGCTAAAACCACAAACTCTGCCATATTAGACATGCTGGCATCACCATCTTTTTCTTCCTTTTCATTGGAATGGCTTTAGTAATTCATGACTTATAATAATGCTTGCTTGCCTTGTATGTATGTAATCTTTATTGTGGTGATGTACTTTCCTTATAATACTTTTCTTAAGTTTTATTAGGAATCACACATTTTGGCATCTGATGAAATCATGTACTTTTTCTCCTTTAACCTGTTGCAGTGACATGTAAGTAGATTTCCTAATGTTGATCCATACTTGCATTCCTGGACCAAATCTTATTTGGCCATGTTGTATTCTTATCTTAAATAATGGCTAAATAAACTTTAATATAATAATGGATTTTTCCCCCATCTCTATTCATACATAAAATCATTCTATGCTATTTTTGGGTTTACCTTTATCAGGTCTTGTCATTAAGGTTAGAATAGCTTTAAAAACTTAATTGTGGGGTCTTCCTTTACTAGTGACTTATTACTATACAACAACTTACCCAAAACTGAGCAGTAGTTTTGCGATAATGAACATTTATTATCTCATTTAGTGTCTGTGTATCATAAATCCAAAAGTGAATTAGCTGGGTTGTTATGGCTCAGGGTCTCTCATGAGGCTTGTTTATGATGTAAGAATAACCTACAGTCATCTGAATGCTTGTCTGTAGTTGGAGGAAGAGAATCTTCCAAGACGGCTCACTTGAGTTCCAGACAAGTTCCTGTTGGCTGTGGCAAGACGATCTCCTTGTCACTTAACCTTCTCTGGAGGGCTAAATGCCTCTTAAAAGCATGATCGCTATTATGCCCCAGAAAGAGAAATCATAGAGTGGGATGAATAAGCAAGCCACAATGCCTATTGTGACCTAGTTTTGAATATCACATGCTGTCAGTTCTGTCACCTTCTATTCATCAGAAGCTAGTCACTTAAATCTGGCATATATTCAGAAGGGGAATTAGTCTCCACCTTTTTAGGTAAGGATATTAAAAACTTGTGGACATTTTTTAAAACCACCACATCATCTTTATGCTTTAAAAACTTGAATGCAGAAAGTATTTGAGCTTTAAAGATTAAATAAAAATCAGCTGTAAAATTACCTGGGCCTAAAGTGCCTAAAACCTAACTGGTAGATCTTTAAGAATTTCAGCAACTTAGAGTACAGTTGCCCACTGTCCACAGAGACAAAAGCCAACAAAACTCCCACATGATGTCCTAATGGGCTTTTTCCTGAAATTGTGAAGGACAAAATAGTGGTCTCCGCAGTTAAATAAAGCAAGCACAGCAGATTCTTTAAAAAAATATATTGAATGAATTGAATTAATTCATCTAAGAAATCCTAAACTGTAATCTGTAAGGCAAATCTCTATTGCATGATTATTTTTGGAATGTCCAACATATTAATATGTTTGGCCTTTTTGAAGAAAACAAACTAAAAGAGAAAATAAATACCATGAATTAAAATCCCAGAAAATACTGGTGTATGAAAATAACAATATGAAAAAAACCCAAAGTAATGAAATTTAAATTTGAACAAGAAGTTAAAGCTAATTTAATAATTCCTTTAAAATACAGAATTTAAGATTGATGATTGAAAAATACTAAAAAAAAAACCAAAAAGAAACCCTACTGTTTTAAATTATAAAATAACAGATTAAGAATTAGCAGAGGGAGATAAAAGAACTTAAACAGCATTTAGTCATGAAGTTTTTATTGTTGTTGTTGAATAATTTCAGTTTATTTCACTGAATAAGGTATTTTACATTTGTTAAAAACTGTTTGTTCCAAGCTATTAAGTGGCTTACAGAATTACATATAATAAACTTAAAAATGAAATCAATGGAGACAAAAAAGAGCATGTTAAATTTAAAAGTAAGTAAAACACATAATTGTGAGGATCTCTAATGTGGCCTAGCAACAGAGTAGGACTCAGCACTTAAGATCCGTTCTTTCCCCAACACTGCCTTCTAATGCTGCTTTTGTATGGGAATTACTAGAGGTCACTAATCTCTTTTTCCCAGCAATGTGCACCATAATATTTGCCATAACTGTAGTTTTAAAGTATCAAATAATTCAACCTATTCTAGCATTCATTCACAAGTCAGAAACAAGCATGACGATCATACAAGAGGTAAGAAGTTGACCCACTCCACAGCCTAAACCTGAGAAAAACTAGTTAGTTCTCAATTGTGCAGAGAGCTATCCCACCACACAGAATGACTGACAACTGTAATGTTCTCACAGCATAGTAGCTTAACAGTTGTTTCGCTAATAATGTCTCCTCCGGAAGAATGTGTAAAGGGTAAACTGACTGTTGTATCTTCTTGTTTTGGTATTTAGTCCTTTCATAGCAGGTCCTTGTTTTAGCATAAGGCAAAACAAACTATTAGAATACAGGTTTTTTCTATAAAAGAGAACAGATCCAGATGCTTCCTTAATTCTACCTATGAATTTTTCATTTGACAGTGTTATTAGGCTGCTTATGATCCCAAGCAATAAATGTAAAATATGAGACTTCGTATTTACTGAAATCCCAAGCAGTATGCTTGGTGAACAGAGGTCCCACATAATAACCTAAACGAAGAAACCCACCCAGAGCCAAGAATGTCCTATTAAGCACTAGTAGAAATGACCAGCACTCCTTGGATGACACAGTTAGCTTAGCCAGGATGCATACTTCTGCCATTGGAGATGAGACAAGCTGGGCCATTATATCTCCTGGCCAAGTTGGAATTATATTGAGTTAATCCTGTTTCACTTGGAATACAACAATGAATCTGGATAAAATCAGTCCTCCTGTTTCAGCTGCTAAGGGAGGAAAACAGTTCTACTGTTACTTCTACCTCTAAACCCAAATTTACTAGGTAGTCATTATCTTTTAAGTCCTTTTAATAGTTTAATCATTTACTTCTTTGGTCATATGCTAACATACATTTGCTCCAAGAACTTTCATCATTGCTTTGGTTTCAATTATGTCTTTTATACAGGCAACAAGCAGATCTCTGTATCCCAACCTCACCAGCATCTTGGACCTGAATTTGCAGCTGACAAAAGGACATTTCCTGTCTATCATCCTCCCCCTATACAATAATTACAGGACTCTCTATCTACGGTTGATATTATTTTAAAAGCTTTATACTTTCTAAATGTCTTTTGCTCATTTTTCTTTAAAACAACCAAGCATTGAAAACTCTACAAAAAATGTTATCTTAAAATGGTTGAGGTTCTTTACTTCCATTCCCCTTCAAAGGGTTCAAGGATACATGAGTCTTTGTAGATAATGACCTATCTTCATTTCAAGGGAAAGAGCCTGTAATTGATTCCCTTTCAATTGAACTTCCAAATAGAAATCCTCTACATAGATAGGGCCAGCCAATGTTAATGTACGCGATGGTGTTAGTTTTCAAACATCTTGACTAAATAAATAAAGGGGAGATGTAAAATACTATGGTTTGCCTGCTGAATCTTAATTTCTAAATTTCTTCTTCTTTCAAAACTTCTTTCCTACTGTATTTGCTGCTTTTTCAGCCATGATCTCTGAATACATCCTTCTGTTTTATCTTCTGAACTCAGAAGCAGCCAGCAGTTCTTCTACAATAAGAGTTCTCCTTTGTTTCTTGGGAATTTGTGAATGGTGGAAATCAGCGGGATTATCAACAAGGGTTCCAATCTGAAAGTACTTGGGGAAGCCATCCCTATCATTTTACTTCTAAAACCTTATTGGGTCCTGCTTGCTCTCTTCTTCAGTGATTTGAGATAGTTTTTTAGTTCATCTGAAAACCCGTTTATTGCTTACAAAATGCAGTCCAGCGCCTTCTCTCTCCCCTGATACAGAAGGAAAGCAACACAAGCAAGCAAGCAAGCAAGCAAGCCCATCCCTTTAAACTCTCAGGTTCACACACGCCCTCCGTTGCCCAGATAATTACCCATTGACAAGGACAAGAACTTGTCTCCAACCCCACCCCGAAGATACACAAATGCGATAAAATCAGGGTAATCTGGAAATGTTACAATTTTACACAGGCTACCCCTCCAGAAATCTCACTTTACAATCTACTCATTCCGCTTCTTCCACAATGGTCCCTGGGCTAGAAAACTGGAGCATTGTGACTAGAATAATGACATAACAATAGTAACAATAGAATAATGATAATCCTAAAGCCAGAGAATTCAGCTAGGCTCAAAGTTTTATGCAGATTAAGTCCATACCTCCTCCATTCCTTAGGCCAGGCAGTAGTTGAGGGTTCAGAGCAATCATCATGCAGCAGTTACAGCCAGAGGCTGCATTCAGGCCACAAGGATTGAAGGAGAAAATAAACTTAAGGATGTTAAGATACATGTTTTCATGACACCAGCATAGGTAAATCTTGTCTATCAGGTAAGATACATTCAAGAGGGTGTCCTTGTGATAAAACAGTGGGAAGAATGGGATCTTGTCCTGGTCTAGTATACCACACTTTCACCCTGCTCCCTGCGGGAGTTACAGATGGGTCCATATATAGGGCTATGGAAGGTACACGCACTGGCCATAAAGATAAAACAAAACTTCCCTGCAAGATGCTCTTACCTCTTGGATGTTTGGGGTACATTACCATAACCTTTGGGGGCCATTCAGCTGTTATTCCAGGAATACACACGAGGCCAGTTTCCAGGTCTCTCCCATGAGATGCCAAAAGGGCCAGCCATCGCTAGTCCACGTGTCAAAATGTCCAGGGCCAGGTCCATTCAACAGTGTCTCCAGGGCTTAATGCAGTAGGGGCTGGCAGCAGGATGTTGCTCTGCTGGCCATATCCTAGCTTCAATAACTCTTCTTTGATTGGACGTACAATTGTATATGAGAGGCAGAAAGGTGTGTGAGCATATCCACAGGGCTCAAAGCTCCTTTACAGGGCTTCTCATTCAAAAGCCACAGCACTGTCCATAGGGGAACAGACCAACCCCATACACTACTGGTGTCCAATTTCAGGCCAGATTTCAATAAACCGTTGTACCTTTCTATCATGCCTGTCCTGGTAGGATTATATGGTTGGTACATGAAATTTCCACTTTATTCCTAATTGCTGCACCCATTTTTGTAACACATGTTCAGTAAAGTGTATGCCTTGATCACTCTCAATCACCTGCAGCCAGCCATAGGCTGCTAAGAGATGCTCTAAGACCCTCTTGGTCATTTGCTGATCTACACGATGTGCAGGAAAAGCAACCAGTAGTCCACACAGGTCATGACATACTGATATCCTTCTGATATGGGCAGAGGCCCAAGATAGTCTATTTGCCATCTGACGAGGGGTACTGGTCCCCTTACTACTGTCCCATGTTGCTGTGGGACTCGGTGTCCCTTAGAGCACACAAGACACTCTTTGTGGCCTCTGCTGACTTCTTCAAAGATCAATGGCAAGCCCCACCGACGGGCTACAGCCCATATTGTCTTTTGGCCACAATGATGAAGCAGCCACATTGTCCCTTGTGCAACAAACGCTGGTGTAGCCATTGGGCCACATCAGAGGCAGGCTTTTCTTCTACCCAGCACACCTGGGTCAATGTGTCTGCTTCATCATTCCCTAGGGAAGCTAAAGGCAAACGGTCAGTCACATGATATACAGTAACAGTCTTAGTCTGACCAGAGGCCCACAGAACTTTCTACAATGCTTGCCCCCAAAGGGGCCAGTGAACAATCATCCAGTTGGCATGATACCATGTCAGTAGCCACAGGGTCAAGCCCCAAGAGGTGTCCCAGCTGTCAGTGCAGACAACTATGGGGGAAGGCTCCTGGGTCATCACGAGCCATACTGCCCACAACTCAGCCCACTGACTGCTCTTCCCCTCTCCATCCTCCATCCATATTGGCTCAGTCTTAGGATGGAAAGCCACAGCCCTGCACTATGGGGCTGCCCTTGACTAGAGACGTCTGTATACCAAGCATCTTCAGGTATAGGGGCTTTTCCCTCTTGATAAGGAGTCTCGGCTACCAAGGGCTGAAAAGCAAGTTCTTCCTGCTTTCCACTGGTAGAGGTCACTGGCCCCAATAAGCATTGGAGTTCTCCACTTAAGGGGCTAGTAGAGAGGGCGCTGCACTGCTGTAATTATGCACCCCAGTTGGCCACTGTAGGTGTCTGTTCCACGCCACTCCATGGCCTTTGGGCCCAGTATCACACCCACCACGCGATGGGATAGGTGGTTATTACCTTGGTTGGAGCTGTTACAGCAATGGGCTCAGCAGCCAGCAAGGCATGGTACACAGCAGCCAGTTGCTTCTCTATCAAGGTGTACCAGACCTCTGCTCCTTTTCACAGTTGTGACCAGAATCCAACAGGTTGGCATGTCCATTCAAGCTGCTGCTAAAGACCCCATCCATAACCATCTTCGGTTACAGGAACATCTAGTTAACAGGGCCGTGATGACTCCATTACATTCAAGGCCTGTATGGCCTTGATTGCCCTCTTGGTAGCAGTAAAAGCAGCTGCACATGTGTCATCCCTGTCCCACCTGATGCCCTTTCATACCAAGCAGTATAAGGGCTTCAGAATTTGTGCCAAGTGCAGGATAAACACTCTCCAGTAGCCCAAAAGACCCCAAAACTCATGTAATACTGCCACAGTGGTAGGGGTGGGGAAAGCCTGGACCTTGTCTATAACTGCCTCAGGGACGATAGTTTTACCAGACCAGACAACCCCCAAGAATTTCAGACAAACCAGGTCCCTGAACCTTGGTGCTGTTCACCATGCATCCTTTTTCCTGTAGATCTTGCAAAAGTCCAGGAACTGCCCCTTCTAAATCTGAAAGAGAATCAGATGTGAGCATAATGTCATCAATGTAGTGATATAACCGCACTGTTTGCTGTTTCCTCCATGTGGGCAAGTCCTGGGCGACAAGTCCATGACAGATGGTGGAACTGTGGAGATATCCCTATGGAAGGACAGTGAATGTCCATTGCCAGCCTTCTGACATAAAGGCAAACTGTTCCTGGCTTTTCTGTGCTATTTCCAAAGCAAAGAAAGCATTAGCAAGGTCTATGACATAATGATACATTCCCAGTTCATGGCTCAGGGTGTCCAGAATGTGTGCTATAGAGGGGACAGTAGCATGCAAAGGGGGTCTGACTTTATTCAGTTCCCTGTGGTCTACAGTGATATGTCAGGAGCTGTCTGGCTTTCTCATTGGCCACACTGAGGAATTAAAAGGACTATGTGTTGGCTTTATGATGCCCACCCTCTCCAACTCCTGTAAAGTTTCTCCTATTTCCTTTTGCCCCTGCAGGTGATTTATACTGCTTAGTATTTGTCACCCACTGACGTACAAGCAGAGCTACAGGTGGGTGGTTAACATATCCCCTCAGAACTGCCTTTACCACATGTACCCTCAGTCTGAACTCACCTGCAGTGGTCTGTAACCACAGGCCCTGCAGAAAATTTACCCACAAAATATATTCAGGGATGGGAGAAATGTACACTGTATACTCCTTTGGGGGTAAATGCCCTATCCCCAATGAGATTTCGGTTTTCTTCACTCTAATTGCCTTACCCCCATAGCCATCTATCACAGTAAGGGTCCTAGGAAAACACTCAGGGTTGCCATCAATCAGAGAAAACTCAGCTCCTATGTCCACCAGGGCCAGCACACATTGTACATCACAGGGGACCAATGAATTGCTAATTCTACATGTGGCCTTTGGTCCCCACCATGTCACCCAAGGTGGGTACTTTGACCCACACCCTCATTCGAACTATGACACCCAGTTGTCCTCCAGTGGGGGTGAGGGCTCAGGTGAATCCTGAGTACTGTTTCCCATAAAGTTTTGCAGGGACACAAGCCAAGCATGAGGCCTTGACTCTGGTTTCCGTGTCCCAGACCTCAGCGGCTGGAACTGCTGCTCTGGCTTTAATTGGTGCCACAGTTCTAACAATATTCTATTGCGCTGCCCATCCAGTTTTTCTTTCACTACTCCTTCCTTTATCAAATCAACCCACATCAAGACCTTCACGGAGCTTTTTGCACTTCTCTTTACAGTCATGGCCCGGACTTCCCTCCATGCCGCAATTTTTTCAACCAGCCCAGATCTGCTAAAGTACGAGTAGCCTCACTTAATGGATTGCCATAGGTGGGGGGCAAGAGTATTCACTAGGGACCCTAAGAGAGATGCGGGAGCTGTATGCAGCAACAGGTTTCTCATTCCTATAGTGAACACCTCCTCATCAGGGCCCTGGACATCCATATTATAGATGATATTTTTCATACCCAATTCCCGCAGTACCTGTTGGGAGTTCTGCATACGTTTTCCAACTATTGGGAAAATATGGTAAATCACCCTGATTAGGCGTAATTACCCTGATGGCAGCTGTTAGCCATTCCAGGAGCCTCTGATTCCCTGAGGTGTGATGGGCATTTTGCATCTGCTGCCCGAGGGAAGGGTGAGTCATCAGGGAAGCCATTCTACTCATC